TACCGTCTTTCATCCTTTGGCGACTCTCGTGAGTGTATTGGTTCCCTCCGATCTGTATTTCGAATGTAGTCAATAACTGAACGGTAGAGAATGATTGTACTAACTGAACGTTAAAGTTCTGGGCCACAATATTCTCACTGGAAATGGCTACAGCTAGTGATGTACGGTGGAAGGAGCTGGACTTGTAGACGTCTGAGGCGAAACGAAAGGTCTATGCATTGTCTGCATCGTTTCAGTGGTTTCCCGAACATGTCGTCAATTTGCCGTATGTCTCAAATTATGGATCGCATTATGGAGGAATATTTGAGAGAAATGCTGAAAAATTCGAACAGGAACATAGCACCCTACTGGAGGGATGCCGATCATTCAGCCTTACGTATTGCGAATGATGCACAAAATGTGGGTCAATATTTTGCGCTAAAAGATATGATGGCTAGGTCTGGCTACGTAGGGAGCACTCGAATTCCCATTGAAAGGATGTGGTACTCGCCTCGGGACTTCTGCCAAGTGACGTGGGCTTACAGGGTAGAAGTGGTGTGGTATCTTCTCCCCGATTTCGCGTCGCGCTCGCCGCACCCGATCGCGCCTTGTCGCGCGCTATGAATGGAGAGGTTTGATTTCTCGGCGGAGGATACGGTAACCGGCGCGGAACCGGAATTCGGGGAATAGTATCGTCATCCACGTAGAAACTCCGTCGGGCTCGGTTACTGCTCTACGTGAGTGCAAAAGGGAGGTTTTGCGGACGGCAACCTCAGCGGCACCTCTACTCACGCTGTCATAGTCCTGCTAAGGCAGTGTTATAGGTGGAATGGGGAATTCAAAGAGAGTGCTGGCGCAATCCTACAGCCGGTCACCGTCGCATAGGCCAACAAGAAGAACACTTATGCTTTAGCAAGCGAGGGGGGGGAGGTGGGGAGGCTAACACATTATATGCTTCCTGATTTCTCCTGATCTGTTGGAATGCAGCTTTGAAGCAATCAGAACGCATCCAATCATTTCCCCCTATTTACCGGAATTCTTTAGGTCGTTGACGATGATAAGAAATTCGCAGTTACGCTAGATGTATCCCAGTTTAAGCCCGAAGAGCTGACTGTGAACCTGGACGGGAGGCGACTGACTGTTGAAGGAAAGCAAGAGCAAAAGAATGACAATAGTTTCATGTCGACGTATGGTTTGAAACGGTTATTACTGACATTACCCAATATAAGCTGACTTTTCAGAACATTCATCCGCTCCTGGACTCTTCCTGACGACGTTGATTTAGAAGGCGTGAAAAGTGAATTGGACGATAAGGGCAAACTCACCGTTGAAGGTCCAAAGCAATCCAGCACATCAAGGAAAAGCATCCCTATTCAATCATATAGGGGCACTAGTGGTTCCAGTAGCCATAGTAGGAGTAGAAGTGACTACTGATTTATCCTCTATCCGCCTTTACGCCCNCCCAAAAAGAATCAATCTTTCGAGTTTTCGGTGAAAATGTAATTGGGGGAGATGGTGGAGGCACACTTAACGTTATTCCGTGTTACACCATGATCTGCGGTGCTCCTACCCTCCCAAGTTATGTGTGTCCCCCTCCCCTCTCCCTTCGGCTTTTCACCAAGTTTTCTTTTTTGCCTAGCTTCACATTCTTAACGCTATCAGATTCTTCATGGGCGACAAGGTAGTCACATCAATGCCCGTTCACATTCTTCCTTTTTGTTTGACTGCCTATTCCTTGCATTGTCGAGAATCATTCTGTAGAACAAAGTTCCGTCAAAAGTTCTGTTCTGTTGCCTGTTCCACAAAAGTTTTCAAGGAACTATCTGAATATCACTTCTAGATAAGTGCCAAAAAAACAAGTCCCAAACTCAGTGAATTCGAACAACCTTCTCGCAGTTCTCCACGAATTTCGTTCGCATTCGGCATAGCAAGAAGCGCATGCCTTGAGGGATCAACCCTGGTTAAACTCCCAAGTAGTCAGTGATTCCATTGCCCAGAAGAAGTTGATGAAAGCTCACAAAGTTCAAATGATGTACCGAATCAATCCTTCAGGGTTCGGAAGCAGTATGTGGAGCTGTATATGTGAGCAGAGGAAGCAACAGGCTGCTCGATTGTGAGAGCGCTTCTCATATGAGAGAAGCGGTCAGAGACGGGTCTCAGGTGGCAATACATTAGGAGATCTTTGATGCCAGCCAATGCGCTTCTTCATATGTAGCTCTGTCATAGCTTTACCCATCACTCGATGGCGTTGGAGTTGGCTAGGCATCGCAAACCATTCACTGATGAAGGTTTTTGCGCGTGACATTATCCACGGGTTAGTATGGGCTCTGAACTCTTTCGAAAATACGAATTGAAATGGTACTGCTTGCAAACATGAATTGTACATTGGTTTGCGGGTGTCAACCACAGCTCAATGATGCTAAATGCCATATACGGCAAAATTTTACCAACAAACTACAACCCATTGTCTTTAGAAATTCGTCCATAGGAAAGCCACACGCTGTTAGAAACATGGGACAGAAAAAAATTGGCATTTGGGTCTGCAAAGAAAGAGCCTGGGGCTGGTCATTGGGGGCCCTCAAACAGTAATAATGCTGAATTAATAGATACTGACTACTACTCTAGGCAAGACATAGACGTTCTATAGCCTGTTATCCCTCTTATTTAAAAGCAGTAACTTGGTGTGTCGGTCTTCCGGTATGTCGGTATGTTTGTATGTGGGTTTGCCGGTCTGTCCGTTCGCAAAACTTTATGATTACGATAAAGGTCTTGTTATGGTAAACCCAGTTCTATCCTACATTACATTCTTATGTATAAACAGTAACTTGGTGGGTAGGTTAATAGAATAAGGTAGTACTGCGGAGTGAAGTAAGTGAAGTGGAATGAAAAGGAAACTTCAAAGCGGTGATTACTACCTGTACTGGCATCGTGCTATGTATTTTCCCCTTTTTTCAACTTTGAACGCCATTGTGCAGATAAGGAAGTGAGCTCAGGAACATTTCTCATCCGGGAACATACAGTTTTCAACCTGAGCTTCAGGAGTGAAGAAGCAGGAGTGGGTGAGGTGCCCACATCCACTCTGGCGCCAACTACAGTACATTTTCTATCTTCTTTGTGAAGTAGGGAATTAGGCCCGGCTCAAGCCATGTGATCCGACTGGTTTTCAAGGAAGCAGCTTTCGTTCCATACCTGATGATAAATTAATCATACATACATATGCATGGATCCTTGTGAAGTATAAGCTAGGAGTTCTAAATTTTATTTGGCTAACTTCCGGGCAGTTGCCTTTGACAGAACCCGTACACATTCGGGAAAAGGATGGAGTTATGTAACCAAAGGGCGTGCACTCGCGTGCTATGGAGGAGAGTTCTGAATCTGTAGTGGAAGATTTCGATAACTACGATAAGGGTGCTGCTTGTCGGGTGCAATAGCCGTCATCCGGGTCTGGAGTTATAGCAGGTTTCGTACTTGACACCTTCGAATCGTGAT